CAGTATTCTGAATGGCGTTATATAGGGAGCAAATAAACTGCTGCGTTTACACTTGTTACATTTATGTGCATTTAACTGAAGATGTGTTAAAAAAAAACGAAAACCTGTAAGTCAGTTCCGCTTAAAAAAAAAATAAACAATTTCACTTCCTGTAATTACAGAAATCCCCAGAAAATAAATCATAGTCACAGCTTTCACGTAGGCCTTCATCCAGTTTTATTTTATTTTTATTAGGTGAGATATTAATGCAGCTCCAGTTAGATTTCCTAACGATACAGTTAAATGAACAGAAGCACAGAATATATAAAGACTGTCGTTTCTGTAACTGGTGTCCTGTGCATTTTCGTGCTCAGTGGATTGTACACAGTTCTTTTTAAAAGTGGATGTTTACGCTTTATTTTTTAATGTATGGCCCTCTCTGATAATACTTTCTGTGCAGTCGTCACAGCGTGTCTGCAGGACTGAGGCTGTATATCAGGAGGAAAGAAACTTATTGTTTTAGATGTAGACAGAAGAAGGAGAGGAGATGAGGTTATCTTGGCAGTAAGTACTACAGAACTACAAATAAAGAGTACCTGTAAGGTTCTATTCATGTTGGATTTTCACTGGATCTGTTTTGGTGAGATCATGTGACAGGTGCAGCTCGATAAACAATGTGGTACAGCTACACAGCTACACCACATCTTGGTGTTCACGTCAGGGAGATCAGAGGTCGCAGTTTAGTTTAATAACTGAGTGAACTGCAGTTACCATGTACACTGGCCGGAAACAGCTGTGATGGTATCTACATCTGTTTTTTGTTTGCTTTGGAAGGTTGCTTTATAATCTCTTATTACTGCATTAACTTTAAAGTTTAACTTTAAAGTTTAAGTGGTGTTAGATAAACATGGACAAACTGCTGTAAAGGTTTATTATTGATTCATTGATTAAAAGTTCTTCTCAGAGTTTTTATTTGTTTATTTTTTAAAGACCATGTATCATTTTTGTACCACTTTACAAGTTTGTGCTACTTTGTGTTGGTCTGTCACAGAAAAACTCAGTGAAAACATTTGAGTTTGTGGTTGTAAGGCGACAAAATGTGTAAAAGTTCAAGGGGTATGAAAACCTTTTCAAGGCACAGTATATGCAGGTATGTGTATGTTTGTTTCATATGCCTGACATGACAGCTCATCATCACCTTGAGAGCATTTTAGTAAGTTTGTGCACACAGATAAAGGCTAATAACACATGAAATTTCACAAATATGTCATATATTTTATTAGGTGCTGTGACAAAGTGGATGAGCAGTTGCAATGCTCTCCCTTTGTCCCATGTGAGTTGACCTTTTTTTTTTTTTTTGCACGTTTCTCTGTTTCTATTTATTTGCTTTGATTTGCCATTTGTTGAGTAACATTGCTGCACTCACTATCCCGGGTTTGTCTGTTGCCGGCAAAACAAACATTCTGCAAATTGAGACAAATACCCAGTTACATGTTTCTTTATATTTTATTTCATCACAGATTAAGTCATTTGTTCATACTTTGTTGTTTCTTTCCAGTCTTCGTGTGGGAAACGCCGCCTTCTTCTGTATAGGGTTTATTGCCGGTTGGTGCAAATGGTGCATTATCGCCACCAACTGGTGTGCAGGTGGGAAACGCCTGCCTAGCATTTTGTTGTTTTAAGTCCTGCTGATGTGACATCAAGCGGAGGGGTTTCTTTTTCCATAGAAATGCTTCATTTTGTTTGTTTCAAGTTCTGAAGGGGTTTGTTGAATCTTGTTTATGTAAACGGAGCCATTTAGTTACGTAAATGTGCCAATTAGAAGGGTGAGGAGGTTTTGTGTCTTTTTTAATCATCAGTGTAGAGTTTAGATCCCTCAGTTTAAGTGAGAGGTACAGGCTGGGCTAATTGGAGGGAAATTGATGGCCCTATTTAAAGCCAGATTCAGAGGAGAGGAGAGGTGAGCTGTGTTACCAGGTCCATGAACTGATGAGTTTTGTTAATCGAGTTACTTTTGGGGAAAGTTTTGTTAAGTTACACATTAAACGGAGTTCATTGTAAATAAATTGCTCACGTCTGCAAACCTGAGATTTCTGTGTAGTCTGCTTCGCTACAACCTTCCACCTTGACATTCGAGTCGGACTACCTCAACATGTTTGTTTGATTCATTTCTTAATGTGAGAACAATCAGGACACAGTTTGTTTCACAGATGCAGGTTCATATTGTGTGTGTGTGATGAACATTTAGCCTAATGTGCTGAACCCAGTGTGTACAACTCTTTGCTGATTGGCTGGTGTAGAAGTGAACAGATCAAACTTTCATCTGTAACCTCTCTGCTCTGTGTTTCCTTTTCAGACCACAAAAACGTCACAGCTGAGTCTGGACACACGTCATTCTGACATGTCGAGCTCCAAACAACAACATAGTAGTAAAATGGAGCCGAGCTGATCTGGAGTCAGAATATGTCCTTTTGTACCGGGATGATCTGTCTGTTCCAGATTACCAGCATCCATCTTTTAAGAACCGGGCGGATCTGCAGGACAGACAGATGAAGGCTGGAGACGTGTCTGTGATTCTGAAGGATGTGACGACTGCTGATAATGGAACATATGAGTGTCGTGTCTTTATGGGAGAAACACGATCATGGAAAATCAGCATCATCAACCTTCACGTTGTTCCTCCAGGTGAGTGAGTAGAGTTGAGTGTGTGTGTGATCAGAGGTGAAGCTGCTTCCTGCTTGTTGATGTTTGTTTCTAAAGATGTTGTTGATGAGACTTTGTAGAAAGCAGCTGGTCTGAGTGATGTGATCAGAGTGCAGTAGATAATGTCTGACAGCAGTTTGAAGAGGAAATGGATTCTGTTCTGTTCTTCACTCATCACCTACCTGACAGCTGACACCTCACACCTGTTTCTCACCTGCAGGTCAGACAGGAAACAGGGAGGAGGACAGAGGAGAATGGAGGGAAGGAGGATGGAGGAAGGATGGTGTTGAACTGAAAGTTGGTCTTCCAGTTGCTGTTATTGTTGTTTCTGCTGTTGTTGTTGTTGGTGTTTTTTTGATCTACCAAAAACGTAAACGACAGAAGCAGGGTTCATACCAGCTTCCACTTGAACTTGAGTCTGTTTGAAATGTTTGTTTTTTCCAGCTTATCTGAGTCTCCAGCTGTTTCAGCTTCTCAGAGGAGACACTGAGCACTCAGGGTAAAGACAGTTGTGGTTTTCCAATCATGTAAATCAGGGGTGTCAAACTCAAATACACAGTGGGCCAAAATTCAAAACTGAAACAAAGTCGTGAGCTAACGTCAATATTTATTGAAATATATTTATTCCTCCAGATATAAGAATGAATCTTTTCTAATGGACAAACATGTTTTGCTGAAAAACTGAATATGGAACAAGAAAAGCTTAATACTAAACAATATATATATATTAGCTGTATAATACCAGTAGGCCAGCTCTAATAGGAATTTGGTATGGCTTCGCAGGCCAAATGTAATTAGGCTGCGGGCCAAATTTGGCCCACGGGCCAGAGTTTGACACCTATGATGTAAATGAAACATGTGCAGACATGTCACACATGCCATTAAGAAGTGCCAAAAAAATATTTGTAATTATTTTAAAATTTTCTTTGGTGTAAAATGTCAACAAACAATCCAGGAAACATTTTCAGGTTTTATGTTTAAACGTACATCATAGACCACCTGCTGAGCTAACGTCTCTTTAACTTTTACTTTAACCTGCTAACACTCAAACTCTTTCATGGCATTTTTAATTTCTCTTTGATATTTGGGCTGATTGGGACCTGATGAATGTGAAAACAGAGAATTAAGAGATTGTTTTTTTTGGTTTTTTTTTAAATCTGACTTTGTTTCTAAGAAAAATGAGATCCACATATGAGGACATTCCTTCTAAATTTCATAGAACAGTGTCAGTATAACGTCCTCGTACGTGGATATCAGGTCCCTGTAGAGTAAAATTCTGTATTTTGGTCTAGACGACCCAAAATGTGATGTCACATGTGTGGATGTGTTACAGGCCCAGCTGTAGAGGGCGCAGCCAGATTACATCCTGTAAAACAGGAGAGAGAGTGAACACAGGAACCACGCTGATGTTCGCCTGCTCAGTCTTACCAGAACCACGAGCTCACAACCCACAGCACTCTGCTGCCCTCTGCTGTCCAGAGTGAAATGACCTCCCCTGTAATACCAAACCTCATTATACCAGCAAAGTGAAACATGCACAATTACCTCCATATATCACACCACTTAACTCACAGTTGTGACCACAGATTTGTGTGGATCACAGACGCCAGGTCCTAGGAGGTTAATATCAAACTACCTGCTGCTTCTCTCATGTTTGTATCAGAGGAGCTTCTGATTATTACAGCTTTAAGCACTGAACACACTTCTTAACTTTGTTATTGTTCTTTAATATATTTACTTTTAATGCACGTTACAATAGTAGATGAGGTTTCATGTTTATTTTTTTAATGTAACTTTCTGACCTGTTGACTCAGTTCGTGCAGTTTTCAGGGACTTTCTGTTTCTCATGTTTTTACTGTAAAAGTGCCTTCAGATGGTTGTTGTTTCCTGCTGCTTCATGAATAATTCTGCAGTGAAACTGAATCTGAGCTGGACCCAAACAAACCTCACTGAGCTGATGTGTAAACTGGATCTAAGCAAGAATCAAACTGCATTAAAAACCTGCTCACTGACTTTCTCTCACTTTGACAACATTTAGACATTAACTGTCATTATATAACAAGTTTATACAGCTGTAGTCTCTTGATGCTACGAACAGAAAACAAAAAATAAATAACTTGGTCATAAAAAGGTGTCGGTGTAACTGGCTCAACCAGGACTTTACACGAGGGCTCAGACAGCTGTGTTCATGGTCGTACCTCAGTATTTACAGAGTCAGTGACCAATCTAGGACTGGTTCTGTGTTCCCACCAGGAAAAGAAACGACTCACGTTTTCCATCAGACATCTTTGTGAAACCCACAGAAGCACACGAGAAGATCAAGTGAGACCAAAGTTTATTGAACCTGCAGAGAAACCAGATCACTGCTGTGGAGACGACAGCACACTTAGAAATAACATAAATAAGAGCAAAGTTACTGAAGACATGAAAACATGGATTACAGCTACATTTAGTTACATAACATTTATTATTGTTTATGTATAAATTACGTATTGCTCATGCTTTTATTCTGAAAGGCCTGATGAAGAAAATTTTTCTTTTTTATATAAAAATTTAAAACTAAATTAAGAAAGTTAAATTTTTCCAGCTTCTTTATAAAAGAAAATAATAATAACTCTCCATTTGAACTTTCTGGCCTCAGTGCTTGTGTGAGGTTTCCTTCATGAGGAGAACAAACAGAATATAAACCAGTGTGTTTACAGTGAATGTGTCAGGTCTGAGCTGCTGTGTGGACCAGTTAGAGAGCAGCAGCTGGATTCCAGTGGTTGGACTGGTGGACGACTTCAGTGAGGAGTCGATGACATTTGGCTCTGGTAGAAACTCTGCACACACAAACACACAGGAGGAGAATATAAGCACAAAGCAGAGCCTCTCTGTTCTCTATAACAGCAAAGCATCAGGACATGTCAGTGAACGCATCACAGTTACAATAATGTAACTTATTGAACTTTGACACATTTTGTGCAGGTGTGTCAGATCACACAGCATCTGCAGACACACAATCTTGTTTTGATACATTTTAACTGCAGGATGAAAATAAACTGATTAAATAACATCAAATTGCTCCATCTTAACAGGTTACTGGCACCAGAATATTTAGTGGAACTGGTGCTTGTGTCCCAGTCAGTGTGTACATCCTGAGATGCTGCAGCCACAAACCTGTTCACTGTTCCCAGCTCACACTTAAAGACGACTGAATGTTTGCTGTGAGGACTCCTCGATCCTGGGACGACCTGCCTGAAGAAATCTGGCTCGCCTCATCAGTGTCGTCTTTTAAATCCTTGT